TGTTTGAAGTATGCGTATGCATCATAAACTAGCATTTCGTTGTTTTCATTTGTCATAAGAATTTCCATTATCAACACGAAATCGAGAGCAATAACAATGAAATTATGATCTCTCGTGTCTACGTTTGGCAACATTATCAATCAAGCAATAATTGTGTAGGTATGTGTAAATGATTTGAGTCCTGTGTTAATTTCGTCTCTAATTTGCTGCGCGAAGTAATTTCTGGTCTAAGTGCTCAGTTGCGTGGCCTTATCGGTTTAATCCTTCCTATTGAGAGCTTATCAAAATAATCCGGTCATTAACTAGTGTGGCAATAGCCTGGACAATTTTGGGACAATTTTGTCTGGGAACCAAAAAATGTCTTGGACACTTTTTGCATTTTGGACTGTTTTTGCCGGGACATAAATGTCTGGGACACAAATGTCCTGACACGGTTCGACACCAGTTAAAACTATCCTAACCAATTTCGGCAGCTGTTCAACCTTTTGGCATCTGTTGCAACACAAATGTAAATAGGAGTATACAGGCAAGAATAAGCGCGGATACAATTGACGTTAATTCGACACTATACAAGACCAGTTATCAGACAACGGATTTTCGGTGCAGTAGACCAGTCCGGCGTAGGTTTGAATATACTAGGAAAGAGGGTTTAATCCTATTTTAACCGTTTTTGGTTCTAATTCGGTTGAGCCTTGATTAAGGCCAACCCTCACAAAGAGGAATTTGTCTCAAGGACATTACCAGTTCTTGTGGCTAGCTTGCGCCTTTTTAAAACGGTTTTGATGCAGATTATTAGTGAATTTATCAACTTGTTTTTCTAGCAAAACTCGGATGAAGCTATCAATAATACCGATGAACTTTGTGTCCAGAAAACGAATCTATTCTTGATGTTTTGAAATTACATCAGAAGATTGCGCGCATTTTTGGGCGCCTCACAAGGAACCTAATTAAAGTGACCGACGCTCCCCGGTTCCGCCGATTTATCAGACAACGGATCTCGATTGGCATCCTCTTGGTCCCCATGAAAATCAACGAATGCGATCAGTCCGCAGAAGTTGACTTGCCCAGAAGTTTGCATCAATTTATCGAATCAATGAAAGCGATCTGTCCCAAACGTATACTTGTCCCAGAAGTTCACATCTGTTTATCGAATCTACAACGGCCATCCGTCCCAGAAGGTTATTTAACAAAGAAAATAGCATGTTTATCGAATCCGCGAATGCGATTCGAAAAGTACGTATATAAACAGAAGTTGTGATTGCGACTATTGTAGCAAAAAACGACGTACTGAGATTGTACTGGGCTGTGATTGGAATTGTGCTACAATTCAGAAAGTCTGATCATGACCGAACGTCTCATGCGTGCCGCCAATCTTCAAATAAACTGTAAAAAAAAGTTCTAAGACTTTTGAAGCTTATGCTATAATTTTACATACGATGTTTACAATATTATCCGACTCAAAGCAGTAATTTTTCCCGACATTGAACATTTTTGATCAGTCCAAGTGAACTGTAAATAATTACAATCCGTACTTAGACGAACAATTAGACATTTTTTTTTCTCAATACTAATTTTTTTTTTGGATACATGAGAACCGATTATCAATGCGTTAAATCGAACAACAGACAACATATACTTCATGACTTTTCGAACTGGTTTACGATTCGAGCCCAGTGCTCAAAATATACTAAAAAAATTGTCGAAAACCCCGAAACTTCCTCAGATCTCTGCGAAACTTTGAACTAGATTCAACCTGATGTTACGTGGTCTGCTAATGAAATATCAGACGTTTTTTTTTTAAAATTTCAACCACAGGTTTCTTCTGCGAGCGCTGTTAACATTTAAATAATTTGCTTGATTCTCCACCCACCTTGGTGAAACCTCATTTCAAACCTCATTTCAAAAACCTTGTTGAAACCTCACTTCAAAAACATTATAGCCGTTAAAGCCCGTCCAATTAGTGATTCGTTGCGTGACAGTAATTTTAGGTGGACAGGTACAGTGTTATTGAATAGGTTAAATTAATTTTTTGATCCTCAGGTTTCTTGTGCGTGAGTTGCTAGAGTTCAACCGACCTAGCTAATTTCCAAAACCATATGTAAATAACAGCAAACTTATCGTCGAGTATACGATCCTTGAGAATATGGTGTTCATTGGTTGCTATTGTGTACAAGTATGAGGGCTCAAGTATGTCACATCAGTCAAATAACACTGAGAAACCTGAATCACATAGCCAATCTAAGTTGTCAAAGCCCGGTATTCGACATCATAATTCTGGGTAGTACAAATCTTGTCGCTACACGGCCGCCCGTCGAAAACTTCAAATGACAAAAACGCAATTTACTGATTATAAAGAAAACGCAAGAGAAGCTAGTGAGGCAGGCCAAAATTTCAATTAAGATGAAAGAGCAGAATACAGTGAAGATTGACTACTTGGAACTGCAAAGTATTCCAAGAATTAGAAGAAATGGCTGCAGAAAATAAAGAAATTGGCAGAAATTGAATTAAGGTTTTTGGGTTGGAGGAAGAGCTGTCCGACGTGAGTGAGAAATTGGACAAAAGCAGTTTAACGAAGGTCAAACTGCAACTTGTTCTCAAAGATAAACACCGTACATGTGATTGGGTTGTTACTGTTCAGCACGAAAACTTTTCGCAGAGTCATGCAAATGCCAGTGCCAACCATCATGCATTTTCATCAAGTTATTAAACGCCCAATCCTGGCTAACCCTCCGGCGCGTCATTTGGGCGTCCACTATCGGCAAGAGAGTTAAAAAAAAATTATTCACAGCCGCACGGATCATCTTAGGAGACAAGCGGTGGTCCAAACACATCAATTTTTCACCAAGAAAACGTTGTTTATTTTATAGAACAAAAACAAGTTACCAACGGGATTCGAGCTCCAGGCCATAAATGGCAAAAACACCAGCTCCACTACCAGACCAAGTCGAAAAGGACCTAAAAGTCGTAAAAAGAGCACGGGAAACTTTTTACTGATCTGTAATAGAACTTGTTTTACGGGAAAAGCATACTTCCCGATTGAAGGTCAGTTAAAATTTCATTAAATCTTTTATTTTGCTAAGATTTTAAAACTAATTACAGCTGCCATCTTGAAAATTGAAATTGTGCGCGTAAACTCAAACTGTCGATAACAGCAAAGACAGGAAACAAAAATCTTAAGCAGTCCCTCATAGTTTTTCCGGTGCTTTACTTCATATCAATGGATGGCTCAATTGATAGCTGATTGGATTGAGATTGATGTATGGCTTGACAGCTGGATGTTTACGTTGATAGAACCAGGGACCTCTAGATAGAAGAGTCAAATTTCGAGTTCTGCGACCCCTGTGGGTTACTTAACTTCACCTCGCCATAGGGTCGGGAATTTAAAAAAATGTATCAAATAATGAAATATCAAAGAAAAATTGAAAAAGTTCGAGCTAATATACGTATGAAGGCCAAATGTACCGCTGCCGAGAGCACCCTGACATCGCTCGAATAAAGGTCGACAATTTCAAATTATGAATATTTATGATATTTATTTTTAAAAAATTTGACAAACCAAAGAAACGCCATATCTCGAAAACTAAAAGTCGTTGAGCAGTCATATTGAGAAGCTAGATTTAAACATCCCGAGATTACCTTAATAGCACCCCACCGTTGATTTGGGAATTTGAAAGTTTACGAAGTGTTAAATTTTAAATTTAACACTAAGGCGAAGCTGCGCTTCGCAAACACTAGTGAGAACACGACAAAAAGCAGCTTCATAAAGTGAAAAAAAAATAGAAATAAACTTCTAATTAGAAAACTTTGCTACGTGTGCTCTTCAAACCTGCGACCTCGAGAATTGCAGTCTCACCGGCAAACACTAGTCACAAATAAAGCAGCTACATCTGCTAACAAACTGCCAATGCTATGGAGCGAAAGTGGCACCAAATAAAAATAGACACAATTTTACAAGTAATAATTTGGAAAATTGAAAACTGAAGGCATCAAAACTAATTATGCATGTAATAAATTGCAAAGCATAAAGCCACATTATGCATAAACTATGGATTTCAAAAAATATTATAAATTGCTGTAGAAAATTTCTGAAATCGAGTTTTAATTAATGCCGTTGTTTGAAACAAACAGCTTTTTTGTGTCAAAATTATCGAGAAAAAAAATATATCCTAAACTGCAATATCTCAAAAACTAAGAGATTTTGGAGGTTCAAATTCCTATAGAAAAATCTGAACTCCCAAGTTAGTCATTTAGCATTCGGCCATCGAAAAAAATTGAAAACACTTTGAGAAGTATTTGCGAATTTGAGTCTTTCCTGTGAGGACACAAGACAGTTGAGCTCAGATACAACTGCGTTTGATGACACATCTAGCTTCTGTCGTATTTTTTTCTTTTAAAGGCAGCATAGTAAAAATCTTAAATTCTTTTTACAATTTTTTTTTCAGATACACGATAATGAAGACTAAAAATTTGAATTTCCGGCGATCAGTTCAGAGTCCAATTGAAATGATAGCGACGAAAGCTTCATCAGAACAATTTTCAAGATCTAAATTTCAAGTGTACATAATGTTTACATCAGAGTGACATTAACAGAATCAATGGTTGATTTTTTTAAACCGAAAAGTGATTTCCATAATTTGAAAAAAAAAATGCTTCAGAAACGCGGATTTGAAAAATTAGCTGCCAGTTTTGAAGGCTTCTAGTTTATAAGAACGTTTCTTTAAATGGTCTCACTTTAAACAAGAAATGTTCAAATTGAGTTTTATCAAGTTTCGTCTATCTTTTTCATCATTCATAAAAGAAAACTGCGACCCTGTATTGTATCTCAAAAAAAGAACATGAACAAGCTGTTTGCTATTTCATCAATTGGTGAAAACCTATTCCGATCATTTGGACAGTCATTTCAAACCTTTGATCTGAAATTTAGCTTTCGATTACGTAGACAGTAAAGACGATCAGTGTCTGAACTTTCAGATTGACTAAAAAGAACAAACTAAATTAAATTTATACATTTATTAAATAAACGCCAATCGCTCCTATTTACACTTACGTGTTTAGTAGCTATATAACACCAAATTAAAAATTCTCATTCTAAGATAGCCTCGAAAATAAATACAATACACATCTGATTTTGGCAAAAGCTACATGATACTCAATCCTAAACCGAAGGAAGTTTAAGCAAACTAAAGTAGGTGGGAAACCAGCCAGTTCAAAAACGCGAAGTAGATACTCTATCGGCGGTTGATCTGCGTAGAAATGGTGCTAGCTGGTCTGTGTAAGAACGACAATGACTATTACTGCCACCGCTATCAACACCAAAACAATCAACATTAGTGCGATTCGGTGTTGGATGGCCCTCATTAACATTGCACTCAGCACGCGTGAACTCTTTCCCAAATCTGCGTTCATGCTGCGGAGTCTCTGCCTGGATTTCTCTATCGTCTCTCCTTGTTCGTGCAAATCCCGAAGGATCTCCGCTCCCAGTTCTTCTGTTTCTATTGCCACTTTGTTTCCTGCTTCCAATCGACGGGTTCCGCGTTCGATTCTCTCACTGTTCTTCAGCAAATTCTGTTTCTGGTCATCGCCATCAATGCCTTAACAAAAACTGGCATCATTTCCGAGTTAATTCTTCTTTAAAAACATTGTAAATATTTTTTTGAAAATCATACATTTAGAAACGACTTGCCTTTTTAACATGTAACAACCATTTAGAAAATCACTTCCAAAAATTGGATAATATTTTCCATACGAAACGTTCGAAATTAAGGAAAACTTGGCAACCTGAGCTTTTTCCGCGTTCTAACCGCCAATGTTTCAAATTATGTACAATATCATTCGTAATCTACCAGTTGACGATGTTCAGCGACGTTGGACTCGCACTCACCTAACAGCTCCATCCTGTCCTGTTGTAGGGATCTGCGTGGGTATTTGACTGCGTGGAACTCCTCCTCCAGCCTCTTCGCCTCTGTCCTGTAGCTCCTCAGTCTAGTCATGTACTTGTTCCTCTCTGCCGTCGAGTGGTCTCTACTCTCCAACTCCATCTGCTCCAATGTATCTTTTAGATCTTCCAACAACCTATTAAACAAACCATTTTGATCACAAAACTCGCATTCAATAACATAACACGCGAAGGAAACTGAACTGGAACTTAAACAAGACCAGGACACTAAACAGTTATTTTATTGTCGTGTAATTTCTACAGTGCTCGCTGTTCGCGCCAAACTAATCGTGAAAACTTGCTTTCTTTCCTTCATGAAAAAGAATCAGCAATAGAACAGAAAAATGAGATTTTGGCGCATCACAAACGATATCAGACAATGAGACCAAAACATCCAGCAGCATTTTCCATTTTGTTTTATAAATTAAACAAAAATAAATTTAACTTCAAGGTTCTTATAAAACTAAAATGGTCAAATCTCCACAATAACTGGGTTTCAAATCTTCGTATTTTAAACTCAACAACAAAATCCTAAATGACCGAATGGATACAACTGGACTCAAGACCAGCAACCTCTGAGAGTACCCAGAGAACATTCCACTATAGGATTGAAAATTTCAAATTTTGTGAAGTTTTAGCAACAATTTTGATAAAACCATAAAATCTCGGAAACTGAAATAATTTGAGCACATATGTCCATAACTACAGGTTTGCGAATTCCAAAATTTGTGAAAATTTTCAAACCTCAATTTTTTGAAAACCTTAAAAAAATACACAACCCAACTTGAAGGCAGCCCAACTTGAAGGCAACATTTGCGACTCCTGAGAGTACCCTTACAGCATACAAATACAGTGTTGGAAATTTCAAATCTTGAAGTTTTTTATAGCTGTTTTTTTATAGCACGTCATATCTCGGAAACTAATAGCATTTGAGCAGTCACATTAGGAGACACGTTTTGCAACCCCGGAGAGCAACCAACCAAAGGATTGGGACTTTAAAACTTCGTGAAATAAACACTAAATTCAAACTGGAAAATCGAAGAAATTTCATAAGCATTGCAATATACAATATAGCTTAAATCCGAAAAAACTGTTTCGTTAAACATGCAAAAATAATAAGTTGAAAAATCTTAAACATGGCAAGACAATGAACCCTGCATTCAAATATATAATAGATAGATAGATAGATTTGCACTCAAAATACGTCACGACGAAAAACATTTTACAGGGTTAAGTGATATGTCACAATGAAGCCTTTTTAATCACAATCTAGAATATATTAATCGACTGATCGCTTTAAGGACCAAATACTCAAGACCAAATGAATTTATAAAATAATTTAGCTTGTAACTGTACAATTTAACCCAAATTCCAAACGGGCAGCCGAGTGATAAATGTATTTTTCAAGCTTTTTGGACCCTTAAATAAGGTCCAGACTTTGCCTGCTACCTGAACAGCAACTGACAACTTGAGTTAAAATTAAGCTATGCTATAGCTGCAGTTCTTTTCTTTCAAACATCCGTACGAGAGCATGTTTTGTAAGTGAACACTCAGTCTAACATCAAGTCCATTCTTCTTTTCATTAAAAATTCCCTGTTGCAGCTCTCGAGAGAAGTAATTATCATTAATGCGTCTGCCGCTCTCAAAATGTAAAGAGCATGGAAAGAGAAAACAAACTTCTTTTCCACTGACGCAAGCAATCAAAAATCAATATTTAAGGCAAAATAATTCTTTCAAATGTCAAGTTTGCATCTTAGAACAAATGCGTCTACTTACCTCTGTATGTTATCCATGGACTGTTGGCGTTCACTTTCAGTAAGGGCTGTGATTTTACTGATGCTGTATGTGATTTCAGCCGAGGCAGACGCTACTTGCTGCTCGTATGATTCAAACAAACTCGCACTCGGGGCTGTAGAGGGTAGCGTAGAGTATCCCCCTCTCGACATTTCTCACTGTCAACTCTCTAGTTTTGATGTAAGAAAACGGCAGATAAATCGGTTAATGAAAGGTTATTATAGAAGAAACTCAAACCCTTTCAAAATGGATTTCATAACAGCAATCTGAAAAATGGGAGATTCCGAATAATTGCAATTAGTTAAGCAAGTCAACTTACATATTAGCATGATACATATTGAAATTAGCAATGACAAAAAATGATGGCATTATTTTCTTATCTTTTTGGACTTCGGACTTCTTCATCAATTATTACTCAACGTCTGGAAAAAAAGAAGTTAGACATAATTGAATTTGTCAAAATAAATATCTAAACATTTTAGTAATCTGTAAAAAAAAAATCATGTAATCAATAACAAAATAACTTATGAACGCCATTGATCTACATCTAACATATAAGAAAATATATCGACGATAGACCATAAGACATTAACTCTGCACTGGGGACGATACCAGTCACATCGAAAAATTTAGACGAAGGAAAGCAATGAAGACATAAAAAGCCCAATTCTATGATCTATCAAACGTCAGGCTTCCGATGGCCTCGAAAGACCTGATAAATAGGTCCCCCTTTAACATAAAAAATTTACCTTTTGTCTTCGACATTTAAATTAGTCTTCGACTATTTATGTATATAGCAAAACATTTCTTCGCATCATTACATCTTCACTCGAGAACATTATAATGCATTGCTGCCTGCCGAGTGTTAACTCTGCAATCATTCTTCAAAATTTCGTTTATAAACAGAGTAAAAAAAACAAAACACATAAACTTTCTTTAATTAACTTCAACGTTCCCTCACCTTCAATTAATTTTTGTCAACTTGTTTTTCATAATCAAAAAAGATTGCCCAATTCCTTATTATACAGTATATTCAACTCTCTAAATTTGTTTAGATGGTCTTAATTTCAGTTTTACTTCATTCAAACCCAAAAACATTTCTAACCGATCTGTCGACAAAACTTGACTTAGTTTTTGTGCTAGGCTGAAAGTTTTTTTTTTGTAAAAAAAAACAAGACTTCTAGAGAAATAAGTTCTCTATTATTATGGTAAACTAAGCTCCTACAGAGGTAGTATTTTGTAATTATCGATCCTCTGCGAACATTATGATTTCATTTGTCCTGATTGCGGACTTTCTAGCTGCCTTTTATGAGATAATTTTTCCTGGGCTGAAAAAAAAAACAAATTGTCAAGAGAAACAATAATTCTGGAGTAATATGCCTACATAAGCTCGATAGTATACTGCTGATTCAAATGATCTGGACAAAACCCATTAAATTTGAAACGCGTTTTTCTCATATTGGGTTGACTTTAGACAAAACTGAAGACGAAAAAACTTGTTTAGGATTTTAGCAGAATTAATATGGTATAATATGCTTTGCAAATTTCGGGCCTAAAATTTAACCCCAAAAATGGATTATTGTTTTGAATTTTAATAGTCAATCAATAAATACGCTGCAACTACCCTGTCAATTACTGGCAAAACTAAATCACAGTGAGACTCTTATAGAGACCATGAAATTTGAAAAAGGGTATAATCTCTAAGAAAACTTATGAAATAATATATTTTTGTTTGATAGACAAAAAGTGTCGTTTTTTCCATATAAAGTACCAATTTTTCATTTGAAAACAATTTTGAAACGTTTCGCACAATTTTTAGAGATAATGACCTGATTCAACTTAAACTTTGTTGGTCTCTATAACAGTAGTTTCAGCGTAATTTTTATTAGACTAAAAAACCAAAAATAATCCAGCCAAAAGTAATCCCCTTTTGGGGTAAAATTAGAGCCTGAATTTCGAAAACCAAATTACACCATGTTAGTTATGATACATATTAAGGCAATTTTTGTCGCCATCAGTTTTTGTCTAAAGTCAACCCAATGTGAAAGAAATGCTTCCGGATAACTTAAATTACCACTGTTTTAGTAAATTGAAATTTTGAGTCAGTCCCGTTGAGTGCTCCCTGACTGCAAACAAAAGTATCAGCCTCTTATGAGAAAGGTTTTTTGTTGGACTGAATTATGTTAAGCCTGAACTATGTGAGGGGTTGTTGAGAGTTTGGGTGAATGGTCTTCGGCTTTTTGCCTGCAAAATCTTAGTTTCGTTAGTATGGGCCTAGTTGGTGACCACTTACAAAATCTTTCTTTATTTTTATGCAGTGAATTGAGTGATCACTTGACTTTGTGCTTGCAAAAACCTTCGATGTGTTAAGAGAGGCTTGCTTGAGTGGTACTTGCAATAACTTATTTCATTTTTAATGAGTGAACTGATTGATCGCCTGACTTTGCAACTCCAAAAACGTTGGGTTTTTAGCAGGGGCTTAGTTGAGAGTTTGACTGAATGGTCTTGACTTAGTGCCCCCAAAAACCTTACCTTATGAGCATAACTCACCATATGCAGCTTTTATATCAGTAAATTGCACTATACTGTTTTTGATAAGATGTTGCCTCAACTCAGGCTCCCTGTTTGGCCAAGTAAGCAGAAAGCTTGTTTTTTGAAAAAAAAGTCGAGGCCCTCAAACTTGCAAAAAAACGATTGAATTTTTCTTGTTTTCATAAAACTTTGTTTCTTATTGAAAATTTTTTGAAAAAATCACAAAAAACATCATATCTGGAAAACTACAAGGATTTGAGCATTCATATTTAGAAGCAAAATTCGCAAACCATGAGAGCACTCTGACAGCACCCAGCTACAGGATAAGGAATTTCAAATTTTGAAAACAAAAATTAATTCACATTTTTTGAAATTTTTTGCAAAAATCACAAAAAACGTCATATCTCTCGAAAACTACAAGAATTTGAGCAGTCATAATTGGAGGCAGGTGATATAAGAAAAGTGATAGAAAAGATAAACAACAAAGATAGAAAGAAAAATCGAAAATATAAAAAAGATAGGAAAAACAACAGATAGAAGAAGAAAGATAAAGACAGAAAAAAAAATAGAAAAAGAAGAATCGAAAAAAAAAAGACAGAAAATCCAGATTAAGATAAAAAGAGAGAAAGATTGGAGACAGCCGTTCGACAGTAGTACTATGTTGAACTGAATCGTCGAAACCAAATTGAAAACTAAAAAATTAGGAGACGGGTAGACAGACAATCAAATTATTAAAAATCAGGTATACAGACACAGACAGACTTAATTTGACCTCGAAAAAAAATTACTGAAAAACTAATGACCCAGTAGAAAACTAATTAATTTTCTTAAGCATTGCAATATTTGATATAGCTTAAACATGAAAAATTTCTTTCGTTACATATGCAAAATTATTATGGTTAAACGTGGGAGATAGCTGTCACTCGCATTTATATATATAGTATAGATAGATAGATAGATATATCCAATGTTTCTGGGAAAAGAGTATTAAAAACAAAGATACGAAGTTCACATTAGGGATATCAGCAAATTCAGTCTGCGTGATTAGCAACAACGAATTGAAGAAAATGATTAGCGGAAATAAATATTGACTAGCGTTTAACGCACCTCCGGTGCTTCGAAATTTTTCGACAACTCATGAAAAACCGCATATATTGGACACAACATCTGCAAACTTTTAGTGTACTCTGACTGCACCCAATTACAGGGTTGGTAATTTCGAACTTTTTAAATTTTTTCAATTCCCATTTTAAAGGCGTCATCTCGAAAAGTTAATGGGCCTCTGCAGAAATTTGATGGCCAGATTTGCAACCACTGATAGTCCTTGAGAGCACCCTACTTTAGGGTTAGGAATTCAAAACTTTGTGAATTTTTTAAACCTGTTTCCCAAAAAAAAATTTAAAAAAAACGTCTTATCTCGGAAACTAAAAGGATTTGAGCATTCATATTAAGAGGCAAGATTTGAGACGCCAGGGTATACGCTGACAATAAGGTTGTATCTTCGAGTTGGTAGTTTCAAATATTTTGAATTTCTTTGTAGATAAGTTCTTTGAAAAAATTTGAAATAATCAAAAAACGTCACATTTCGGAAACTAAAAGCATTTGAGCAGTCGCAATTAGCAGTCGCATGTGGCAAGATTTGCAACTCTTTAGAGTACCCTGACAACAACGAACTAAAGCGTTGGGAATTTCAAATTTTGAAAAATAATTAATTTAAACTTTCTGTAAACTTTGAAAAAATCACAATAAACGTCACATCTCGAAAACTACAAAGAATTGAGCAGTCATAATTGGAGGCAAGATTCGCAATCCTTGAGAGTACTCTGACAGGACCTAACTTAAGGGTTGCGAAATTCAAATTTTTAAAACAATAATTTGAGTTTTCTGAAAATTTTTGAAAAAATCACAAAAAACATCATATCTCGAAAACTACAAGGATTTGAGCAGTCATTTTTGGAGGCAAGATTCGCAATCCCTGATAGTAATCTGACAGTATCCAACTACAGGATTGGGATTTTCAGATTTAAAAACAATAATTTTAGTTTTCTGAAAATTTTTGAAAAAATCACAAAAAAACGTCATATCTCGAAAACTATTGAGCAGTCATACTTGGAGGCAAGATTCGCAATCTTTGAGAGTACTCTGACAGGATATAATTAGAGGGTTGGGAATTTCAGATTTTTAAAAAACTAATATGAATTTAAGTTTTCTGAAAATTTTTGAAAAAATCACAAAAAACGTCATATCTCGAAAACTACAAGGATTTCAACAGTCATATTTGGAGGCAAGCTTTGTAATCCTTTAGAGTACTCTGACATTACCCAACTACAGGGTTGGGAACATCAAGTTTTGTAAATTATTTTATTTGAAATTTCTGAAATTTTTTGAAAAAATCTAAAAAATTGTCTTATCTCGTTAACTAAAATGATTCGGGCATTCAAAATTGGAGGCCAAATTCGCAACCCCTAATTCGATATTGGGCTGCTTAATTTAAACTCGGTAAAATAACCACTAAAATCAAATTGGAAAATCGAAAAACATTCTTAACCATGGCAATATACGATATAGCTTAAACATGCAAAAATAATACGTTGAAAAAGCTTAAACATGGCGAAATAGTTAAGCCCGCATTTAAATATATAATAGATCTATCCTATCACACAAGCTTTGTGTGTGTAAGTAAACGGGACAAAAAGTAGTGCAATTGGTTATATCACAACCTACACAAAATTCCGTGGGATTTTGGAGACACTCCTTATAAATGTTTACCGAACATGATCGACCTTATTTGTGACCCTCGAAAGTTTAAGGGCACGGGATCTGAATGACTAACTATAACGATTCGATGATTTATTTGCACCAAATGTGAAGCCAAAATTAGACACCTTCGAATTCAACAGAAAAGGGTTCGATTTTGCTGAATTCCTGCAAGCTTTCGCAGAAGCAAAAGAGGTAGAACACTCTTTAAAACAGCAAATGGTTTTAACTCCCCATAGCAAGAAAGGAAAGTTACAAAAGAAGGAACGAAGGACTGCATCAAAGAAACCAATGGTTTCGGAGACCTATCAAACATAATCAACTCCGTTAACTCTTACAAAGCACAGTGAATAAAGCCTCCAGCAAGCAAAACATGTTGCATGTCTTAGAAACGTTTATTAGGTTTGGGCAGACGATGTCTGGAGGAAAAAATGATCAGTAATTAATGTGAATTTAATCAACCAAATACTCCAAAAAAAAATTAAAACTTTTGCAAAGTTGAGCCGCAAAACATAAAAACTGAGCGTGCACAATTTTTAAGACACAAGACCTAAACAAGTAGCTTCAATTCGCTCATTGAAACATCTAACTTATTAGACTAGTGTTTTAAATATTCGCCCGTTTCCAGCAGCTTTGTTGTCCCGTCCAGTGCAAAGTTAAACTCGTACTATTGTAGAAAAAAAAATGGTCGAGAAAGGCAACAAGAGGGCCCTTCCCTTGTTGATGAATAGAGACTGCGACAGGAAGTAGAAAATAGTTGAGAATGAGCAAACATAGGAAGCAAGATATGTGAGAGGTCACCATTTACAATTGTGACACTCGAGACAGAACATGAATGGTGAAAATTAAACGTCGGCCAGGCTTCTTTATAATTGGACAATACCTACCAATCAGTCCTCTGCCAACATAAAATGGCTGGTGTAAATTTCAGATGAAAGAAATAGAATAGAGTAAAGTACTGTGAATAATCAACTAAATATTCAAGCTTAACAGCAGTGCTTCATGGTGGGGAACTCGTAGAAAAAATACCTTGTTTTTTAAAAAGCAAACAGTCAGATATTACAATTTTTTTTCTCATTTTACGATTTCAAGTGGTTTTTTGTTTTATACTTAAGCCAGGTAATGAACATAACCGTATGATTTAGAAGCATGGCCGACCAATTTTAGGCTCAAAAATAAATTAATCATTAATATTACTCAACAACTCAATTGAAAATGATTGGGATTCAAATTAGAAGAGCGAATCTAATCAACGACGAAAACTGATGAGTTAAATTGAAGACGAGAGGAAACTAAAGACATGTAGCATAGCACTGAAACTGGTTGTTGTTCAAATTGAGACACTTATCATCATCCCACTTATATCATTCGCTTTATAACTTTAACTATTTTGTTCTAAAGATTCTGATTTGGAGAATAGAGAATCATAGCTAGTGTAGTTGCGTAGGGTGATCACGATATGACGATGGTGCTCAGTCGGTTGGTCCGCTTAGACAGGTTCTCCATGCTCGAGCTCTTCTTACTCACCGGGGCTTGTTTCAGCTTGTTCTCGCATATCCGTGTCGTGGCCTTAAACACATTTGCCAAATGATTTGAACATGACTGCCGATACTTGTCTATTTTCTTAATGAGGATCTTTTCTATGATAAGTTTATGCTTAGACCACTCAGGATATAAATCTAAGTGACGAGTAGCTGTAGCATTATTTGACTCAAACGGTGTATTTTTTAGAAATTAGTACAGCTTGCTACATTTGGATTTAGTTTTTATTTGGACATGGAGGCTGACACTCACTTCTAGTTTGGCAGCTCTGTTCTTGTCCAGGGGCTCGACTGCGAACACGAAGTCGTTCTTGTCGGCCAGGGTGCGCAGGTCGAAGTAGTACTTGGCGTACACTCCCGAGGGCACGTTGATGTTGAACTGGATCATCTCCAGGTACTGTCGCTCCAGCTCATTCCTGAGCAAGATACAAGTCATTAAAACTGCCCTCATTCTGGTACTTATGTTCATGGTCAGTTTATTATAGTGTATACATTCGTTAGCATATCTATTTTACAAACGTTTTCAGCAAAAATACTTATCCTAATTTGGGAAGGTAATTCTTTATGAACAAATTAATCCACAGCACTAGGTTTGTAAAATTGGCTGATATGATATATCCATGCCTTAATATGCATATTTGGTTCCAAGTAATATAAGTTTCAGGGAAATTTCAGCAGCATGTGCCACTGAATGAAATAGGACTCACATGTCGTGCACTTGTAGCTTGGTGAGGATTCCGCAGTAGTCCACATTCCAGACGGCCTGGTCGTCCCACACCTTGGAGGCCAGCAGCACTGCCCCCAGCACCATGCGCTTCCAGCTAATAGGGTTGATTTCTATCTCCCCGTAGTACAGCAGACGTTCCAAATAAATCTAGAAAACAAAAGTAGATTTAAAAAAAAAGATGTTAGTGCGCCAGTTTTTTTTCAAATTAGACTCGTTTTTTAGCCGTGGTGTGATGGAGGGAGCTGAACAAAAAAACTAGAGATTAGGCATATTCGACAGTCATAGTAAAATAAGCAAAATGAAAAACAATTTTTTTTAGAAAAATGACTAGAAAAACGAAACGCAAAAAAATTCGAAGATTTAGTTTTTTTTTTGAATTCTTGATTCCAAAAAGGCGCTAAAAACTCAAAAACATAGCCAATCGAAGGTTGCAAAAGAGTAATGAACGCAATTTAACATAAAAAACACTGACTTTCTTGAAAAAATTTTCAAAAAAAAATAGATGCCCTTCAAGCTCTTTGAATTTCTAGAACAATTTATGATTGGCGCTTTTTCGATAACATGAACCCAACTAGAGAAACTGGATCAATAGATGAAGTTTCTATTCCGCTGGAAATATGAAAATCAAAATCCACTTTCGAAACTAGATATCGTTCACGTTTTCACGCGCCGTTTCCACGTTCGTATTTGGAGAGTGCTATTTACGTCACTTTCAGCAGATGAATTTCAATTGAACTCAAAAATTGCATATATACCTAAGTGCATTCATAAATGCATCAATATGTATGAATGCACAATTGCAGTTATTGGAGACTTTTGAGCCTTTTTCCTGAAAAAAAAACAAATCAGCAAGACCTACATAAGAGTCTTCACTAAGTTCATTACTCTTAAAAACTAACGTTACTCAAGTAAAACTATTTTTTTATTTTACGTTTAAAATTAAGCTATTTTAAGCTTTGAAGCCATTAAAATAATCTATTTTAAGCCTGCTCGCTCGCTTTATTCGCTCGAATTAAGACGAAAAACGAAAAATTTCAAACCCGTTTATCTCGACACTGGGAATTTTTTAAAAAATTTTCTTAAGTCGATCGAATCACAACTGTAAGGGCTTTATCATGATATATCACTAAACTCTCTCCGATGATTATTCGTGGTAGCTGATTTTGCTTGGTACACAAAAAAAAACAGACCCGAATACACAGTTTTCAAATGGCTTGAACAACAATATCCTCTTAAGTCTAAACATCTTGTTTCATTTAATTTGATAGTAGTTTGTAAGGTCATTCGCTACAATGTTTATCTTAACGAACGCGAAGGGATACACGTTAGAAACACCTCTAGTATAGTCTGTAATGAACTGGTTTGACATACTAGTGTGATGATTGCCACTTCTGCGGTGAGTTGTGCTGAGCTGAAAAGCAGTCTGAGGAATCTGTAGATGACTCTGTGATCGGGATCTCTCAAACCGTAGTCGTCCGACAGGTAGTCATCCTAATCACAGAAACATCATTCACTGTTAGTCAGAAGGCACTTCAAAAAGAAACTTCAAAACTTTTAATCAAATCATAGCCTAACTCTTAAGTGATGGTCTTTGTTTCCTCATTATAGTTATCTGCCAAATTTTTATACTATTCTACACTCTTATATACCTAATTATACGCCTTTCACGCAGAGGCAAAGCTTCACTTCCTAACACTAGTAAGAACACAGAGCAGCTCTATAAAGTGCAATAATAAAAAGTAGAAATAAGCCTCGAATAAGTAAAAATTCGTCTAGGTTTCGGATTCGATTTGCGACCTAGAGATAATGAGTCTAAAGCACAAATAACGCAGAGAACAGATGCTATGAAATTCCCAATACTAGATCGTGATTATATCAAAAGTGCCACTAAATAAGTGACCCAAGTTTCCACTTTCAACGAACACTTTTATTTGCGAGTTAGCTTACAAAAAAAAATTCGTACTAAAACACTACGTTGCTCGATAGTGTGAACACAGCGGTGAAGCTGCGCTTAGCACCACTTGCGACACAAAAGAAGAAAGCCGCTAAGTCGAGAAAAAACGAATCTATCAAAATGAACAAAGATTGTTTTGAAACAAAAACATGCAAGACAATACAACGTGAAGATATCATCGGAAGAAAACTTAAGCACTAAAACAGCCAAAAACACCGCAGCAGACACCCTTTGAGACGGAAAAAATTAAAAGACATACAAAAATTTTTAAGTCTCTCTCCCCATCAAAAACTCTCTCACACACATACACACAACTTCAACAAAAATTTGCTTGTCAAACGTCGCAATATATGGCCACTAAGCCGATACAATAACGGCCAAAACCTATCAAACCAAAACAAATATAGCCAACAGACAGTTGGAAAAGAGTGAATGCAAGTAAACAGAAAAAAAACTGACTTGTTTTTTTGAAAAATCTCAAGAAAAAAATAGATGTCCTTGAAGCTCGTTGAATTTATAGAACAATTTATGATTGGAAATTTTTTGCTGGGTTCTTATTTTATTTTTTCTTGACCTTAACACTTTCGCCGTTCGATGATGGAGTTTGCCTACATTTTAACTGAATCCCAGCCGACCCAAAAGGTGCCTCCTTTGTACTACTTTGAGATATCCATTTTCTGCTGACAGACTCTGAATTTTTTTAAAGGCGCCTTGGTCGCCAATAAAAACTAAATTTTAGGGGGACGCGCGCGTAAAAAAATACAATTTTTTGGCCAAAGTTAATTAAAATGCTAACAAGCACACACTCTGTCTGTTGCAGTAAATTTATTGCAAGCAGAGTCTTCAAGGCAATGAGTATAGTGAGTCCTGTGAACGAAGTCATGTGAATGAGAAAAAGTCTACTTCACGATTGCAAAACACTTCCATTCGCAAGTGTAATTAATAGTCCTATCTTCCATTTACATTTGGGTAACGATGCCTAGATTTGACAACTTACAGTTAGAGGATGCAGCTTCTCGTTGAATATCTCTAGACTGATGTCCTGCTGCTGCTGTTGGTGGTGGAGGTGGTGGTGATCCCCCGAGGAATTCCTATTCCTGATATGGTAGTACACTGCAAGAGCCACACTGAAAAAAAAAGTTTAGATATGCATACGAATAGGGCAGATGTCAAACAGATATTAGTTTTCTCTTTAAACTTTGCCATCACAAATAAGCAATAAAAATCAGGCATTATAATTAGCCCCCGGCCCTGCTACTTCCGCTGTTCTACCTTTGCTCTTTCTTCCAGGAGGAAAATAGAGGAGATATAAACAATCTGCTCAAATTTGCGAATATTGAGATACTAACCATTTGATGGTGTTTTTGAGATTGGGCTGACTGACTGTACTGTCATCAATAAATATCGTCGAGCACGAGTTGAACTTTTTGGAAGTCATTGTCAAATTGGTGAAGTTGTCGCCAGCTCCCTAGACCATACATGCTTATACGATTGTTATCTGCCAATTTGACAATATAATTTCAACGTTTTCTACAAAAGCAAAAACGCAAACGATTCAACTTTAGGTTCCGCTTCAGAGTGAAATATATTTTTTTTGTAATTATTTAATTAACTTTTCCGCCATGTTCTCGTAAATTAGCAATTACTTACGGAAATATGTGTCGACGGCATCATACAACTGCGTCGTCTTGAGATGCGGTTGTCGCGACCTATAAAACTTCCAAAATATTTTCACGTTCATCGACAAAAAGTATCACCTATGAAAGTACCTTTGAGCTCTTGCGTTTTAAAAAATCAGCAAATTATTTTTCCGAAACTATTTTATAGTGAATTATCCTTTGAAAACGTACTAGATCATACTAAAATTATGAAAATGTAGCACTCACCGGCTAAGTCGTTGAACTTCGCCAGGAAAATAGTCTGAACATGTGGATCTCCAGAAGGGTCTTCAAACGGCTCTAAAACGATCAATTAACATCTAGCGCACGTTAAAACAGACGAGAAGTTGCTCTTCCCAAGCAAGCAAAAAAAACGAAACGTTATCGTCTAATTAAAAACCATGGACGAACAAATGAAAGAAGTTCCTTCTTTTTTAATACCCAATGCTCTATAGAAGTACAAAATGATATGTTTTTCGCCTAGTAACGCATTAAGAAGACCAAATAGCTTGCCTCAATAAAAATGGAATGATATCTGAGCAGTATTTACGGTTAAGCCTAAAAATTAACTTGATGAAGGATTTTTCTATTAAATACAAGTTGAACTTTTCTATAGTCAAATTTGGTCCTGTTTTCTATATTTTTAAATGTAAGCCAACTTTTAAATGTAAATTTCTTGCCCTAAAAATCAAACTGAATTCATTCCTTAATTACCTTCTGGCTCCCGTTCACTCATGTGCTGCAAATAATTCATTTGGGATGAGTTCTGTTTTGAAGCCAGCAGGTGGTCCTGCATCGGGTATCCCCCTCCCTTGTCATCCGGGTGACCTCTACCACCCCCTATGTCCACAAAACCATGCCCGGACGACTGACTAGAGAAATTTTGATTCCGCATAGGCAAATAGTGGTCCGCCATTCCCATCCCATTTTGGGTGCGACCATTTTGACTTCTTTTGAAGTTTGCCGCTCCGTCCTCGCGGGAGTGAAAGCAGCAACTTGATTGGGAAAGTCCCATTATTTTAAGCCCACTACTGATTTTGAAAAATAATAATTCAATGACGCAGGACGAAAAGATGACCAGACCAAGTATTTATCACTTAATTGACAAATGGGCGAATTAAAGAGATTTAATTTCAAGGAGGAAGCGGTTGCCCTTATTTTGTCGAATTACTGCACGGCAACTGATTTTAAATATGTGGAGGTCGAAGAGATAGATCAATGTCGAATAAAAACCATTTATGTTCTTTCCTATTCGTCTTATTCTCAAGGATGATACATGGGAACTAATACTAGGTCCATTGTAGTGTTTCTCTGAACCCAAACCACTGTTTTATCATCTAGAACTCCTTAGCCATCACATATAAATCACTGAAACAACTGAATGCGTATATTTCTGTAATGAATTTGAGAGATTTTTATAGACTTGTCTAGTAACGCAAACAAAAAAAGGAATAGTCATATGTCATATTTTTCTACTTAGGTGCCAAAATAGCAAAAAAATTCAACTTTAGGACAAACAGAGTATTCACTAAACCCATGTAAAAAAAAACGATTGACACATTATAGAAAAATCTTACCCAATTGGAGAAAACAGGATTATTACGCATAAGTTTTTATTCACGCTGACCATGTAAAAACCAAACCCAACCTTTGAAACCAAATAAATCGCCATTTCATCTTCAGTTAATGAAGAGCGTAATGTGGCCTCATCTTGGAAAATGAATTTGAAAAGGGATCTTCAAATGAACCAAAAGCCAGACAATCACAATAAAACCTGAACGAATTATATTTGCAACTGCTCGTCTAGCATAGCTCGTGGTGATTTTATTAAGCCAACAAACTAGTCAGATGCGATGAACCAAAATGTAAATTTTTCCAAGCAGTACAGGAGCCTGACAAAGTTTCTGCACAACAGACTCTGAAACAATTTACACAACTTGTTTTGACGGTAAAGCACCTCGAAGTTTCAGATCGGGCTAAAATACATGCTTCAAAAATTTATAACAAGGCCAACAGGAAAAGATTTTAGTTAAAACAGGAAAAAAGGATGCCTCGCAAAGTGATTGCACACTGGCACCAAATACACTGAGAGGTCTTTTAGATACCTAACTTGAATAGTTGAACCAAGATTTTCAATAGGAAATTAACACCGAGTATTTGAAGAAAAAAAAACTTAAAAAAATCTGGTAAAAGAGCTAGCCAAAACTGATAGAGAAAACATTTACGGGAACAACAAACCAATAATAGCGACTGACAACCTTGAGGATTCCAGAAAGTTATTTTACATTTACATTACTGCGAAACACAGGAAAGAATGCGAAACACAGGAAAGAATGCGAAACACAGGCAAAATTGAGTTTCGTATCACTTGCTTAACAAAAGTATCTGCCTTTAATCCAAACAGGGCAAGGTGCAAACAACGTCTACATTTTCACTTAATTTCGTGCGCAGAAGAAATGTCCAGTTCTTCCTAAGGAGTTTAAAGTACGTCATTTCATACCTATGACAGAATTTTGTAGTCGTATGAGAAAATACGAGTTTTTATGCGTGCATAGAACAGGGAGAGAAAAGAGTCAAAAATTTGCTTGGAAGAATTAATAATGGCTTCATTGACTGCACTTATCTTTCACGATTTTGGCGTAGCCGCAGACGCCGAAGAGTTTTCCACGTTCCGATGTTTGGATTGACTGCAAAATCTCAGATTCTAGGAGGCAGTTTTCGAGAAAAGTCAAAAAGAATAAAAACTCTCAAAAAATCAAACATCTGACGAAAAACCTTACGAAAAAAATCAAAAAGCCCAATCCCATACATTGCCCTAACACCTGTTTTTTTTAATCAAACAGGCATTCTAGTTGAACATGCCAAGCAAGACATTTGAAGCATTTGAGTATAACCTAAGAAATGGCAGGGTAGTTTTCGAGAAAAGTAAAAACTCCCAAAAAAACAAAAACTTGGCTTTTGAAGCGAATCAAAACTTTGTGCAAAAAAAATAAAATTAGCCGCTGATGCAAAAGAAATTCACATAATCTTTTGTTTAGATTGAACAAAACTCAAACTTTGGGCAGGTAGTTTTCGCAAAACGTCAAATAGTTTCTAAAAACGGTACAAAACCAATTATTGATTTTTCCAAGGTCCAAACTTTATGTATCATAAATGGGCCTTGCCGAACATGTAGAAGAGCTTCTCACAAACAGCTTTTTGGATTAAAGCCAAAATCAAAAAGTTGGGCGGGAGTTTTCAAAAACCAAAAATCATTAAAACAGGGTCAATAAGATCCCATTTTTTTCCGAGGGGCGCTACTTTTATGTAATAAATTTGCAGTGATGTTTCCCAAACCCGTACTCTCCATTGAACCCAAAATCTCGGATTTGGGCGAGTAATTTGAGAAAACGGAAAAATCCAAATATATGGGTCAAGTAGTCCTCGCCGCCGACTTTTTTGAAGGCTGTAGACAGTAGGATAAAGTAAAAAAAGACCAGGTAATTATGCAAGCACGCATTTGAGTAGCGGTATTTCCATTGACACGTCTTTTTTGGAATTCGATAGTAAGAGTTTTCTACAGCACCCAAAATTTTGCAAAACGTGAAAAAAATTTCGAAAGCCTTTCAAAAATGAAAAATGAAAACCCAACCCCATTATTTCCAAAATACACGATTTGGTCAAACAGGAATTATTGGCTGTCAAAATTACACAAATTAAGTTGACTGAATAAGCAACACTATCATTGAACACTTTTATTTGCGAGTCAGATTAGAAAAGAAGGTTCCTACTAATACACTAACGCACAAAAACCTTTAATAAAAAAGCATGAGCTGCCCACATAGGATTCACGAGAGCTATATATGTAGTGTATGCAGGCTAGTTTACATAATTGGGAAAGCAAACCGACCGAGCTTAAGCCGACAACCATGCAGCCGAAAAATCATCAGCAAAAAATTAAGATCAAAATTCTTTAACTACAATGGTTAGAACTCTAGATAAAACATTCACCAGTAGTTGCCTAGTACCTAGTAGATAAATTTGAACTTTCAAGAAACTGAGCATGTCAGCAGCAGTACATACGATTCAAGTGATTTCACCCGACAAAATGTATATGATTTGATGACTATAATCTATATGATTTGATGGCTAGTCGCAAAAGTATACATTACAATAGTCTGTTTTAATTGTCGTATAGTGTTATTTAGTTCAAATTGCAAGCTGTCAATCAACTGTCATTCGTGGTGCTTGTTAATTTATTAGCAGGTGCTGTCCTTGGAACAGTCTGTCACCCTTGGATAATCTTGATAGTCACTCATATTGTTAACTTTGCATGATCAAGTTGATTATCTTTATTGGAACTAAATACTGCACAACAAGCGTTTTCAACATGGCGCAGCCAGCAGTCTCAGGTGGGTGAAGAATCCACTGGGCATTACAGGATTTTGGCAAAATTTACTGAACCACCTATGATGTGGGAATTCTGGATCAACAGATTCCAATGGCGGATGGTGGCTAAGCATTCAATTAATCCGAAAAATTATTATTACGCAGGATTGTTATTTGCAAGATTGTTAATAAAATCACTTCTTTACCTGATTTGTTTAATCTAAATTTCATTGAGTTTAATTATGTTTCTGACCCCCAGTTGAGCGCAATTCGCGACCTTATAGTTTCACAGGATCCTAACATTCATGATAAAATTAATGCTATGAACCGTTATTATTCTCAATTTGTTAACGACTTTTCGGTAAAGGAGAACGTAGTATGGATGGATGAAAAACTCGTAACACCTATGAACTTACAAACTGCGATTAACAATAGAAATCATGCATACCATCACGGAAAATCCAACATGTTTGATGCGGCAAAAGATGTTTGGTACCCGTATATTTACCGATCAATAGCTTCAATAGCTGAGGACTGTCCCGAATGCACCGCTGCCGGTAAGAACTTAAAAACGATCTTAAAAACGAACAAAAAATCAGCTTGGAAATATACTTGAACCGAATGAACCCAATGAATCAGTTCGACTGAATTTTTGGGGGCCATTAACTACTTAAATGAATCCCCGAAATATGTGTTAGTGGCGGTCGATCGGTTTTCTCGTTGGCCCTCGGCAATGGTCTGTGCAAATAATCGATCTGATAAAATACTGAAGTTTTTAAAAAGTTATATAACAAATCATGGAGTGCCAAGGAAAATTCACGTGGATCAGGGAACGAGTTTTATGTCAAATGAGATTAAAGCATTCTGTAATGGGGAGGGTATTGCAATCATAAAATCACCTGTTATTGATCACTGGGCAACTGGGTGCGTGATGCGCACCATAGGTAGTCTTAAAAATTCCATTCTGACGTTTGTCCATGAAAAACACCCCGAACCCTTGGAAAAAATGATCGAAAGAGCACTTGGCGCCCTCAGATTTTCGAAGAATGCAACATTAAAAATCTCGCCATTCGAGGCGCACCGTGGACGAGAAGCGAACACGGTCTTACGAAACCTTACTAAAAAACCATCTCTGCAAAATCGGGATTGGTCGCGGGTTATAAAAACGAAAAATGCTTGTTTAGATGACGCCGACCCAAATGCAAACGATATGCCACACCCTGCAGACACAAACTGGGCCGTACGATCGGATTTAGCGTACGACATAAACCACAGGAGCCACGCGCCGGCTGACCCATGAGCAATCAGCCAACCAAGACGATGAACCGTCAATTCTGAAATCCTTGGACAACCAGGACCTTCTGGATTGTTATTCCAGCGAACTGGAAACCGCAACCTCAAAATATATAGACAGCTTCATTCGAAAGTTAAAGCAGAGAGCGCTCATACGTTGACTTTAAATAATGGGGTTGTGCTTAGGAAATCGGGGGTGGCCACAAAAGCGAAACCAAAGAAGTCTAAAGCAGGGTCAAAATCAATTTTACCACCGCCAACTCCGCGGGAGGTCAAAGAGCGAGCGACAGAGGATTGCTCCAGAGAAGCAACGGAAGAAAAGCGGCCGCCGATTTGAGAACAGTGGTTCTGAATCGGACGATAGTGACAACTTAACAATTATTTTGGTCAAACGGACAAAACAACCATCCGCGGAGGCTTCAAAAGAAATCGCTCAAGCAGATCCAACGGCAATGACACAACCGGACGCAGATATTGGAAGCGACCAAGAAACAATTCCGGCACGCAGCGGCGATTTGGATAGAAATCCAAGGGATCCGTCTACATCAAATCCAGGGGACCAACCAATGCCAGCACCCGGCAAAAAGAAAGGAACGTCAAAGAAGGCCAGACTGGTATCCTTTAGCAGTCAGGAAGACAGCCAGGATGACACGGTATCTATAGCATCGAGAAGAAGCAGAAGAAAACGAACGGCGGTCACCAAAATGGGAGGGGTGATGATTGATTTCATCAATCAGAACGAAAAGGAGGGAAAGAAGTGATCTAAAAGGAAACAATTAAACTGAAACATAAAACAAAACTATTAGCCTATTTAGCCCAGGGAGAGGGTGGGTCTTCATTGACTAAAACTCAAACGCCATCACTGCTAAGTGATTTTTTAGTTGATAAAAATCGTTGTCAGAAAAGTTGTTATTCATTCTTTAAACAAACACTCAGTATTTTCTCATCAGTAATTCTTAATCAACATGTTGTCATTAAATTTTCAGGCATCTAAAATTTCATCTATTGAAGGGGAAGTGTCATGTAGTGTTATTTAGTTCAAATTGCAAGCTGTCAATCAACTGTCATTCGTGGTGCTTATTAATCTATTAGCAGGTGCTGTCCTTGGAACAGTCTGTCACCCTTGGATAATCTAGATAGTCACTATTATTGTTAACTTTGCAAGATCAAGTTGATTATCTTTATTGGAATTAAATACTGCACAAGCGTTTTCAACATAATATCAGCAGCAATGATTGTAATTGAGCGCTGCAAATGCATATACTGTAACGAGGATATCCAGTTGCTGCAAAAGCAGCACAGATGTTCCGACCAATCATACTGTTTAAAAAATTGGAGTGATAAAAGGATTACAAAATTAGGCAGAATCGACAAGCTGTCATCGAAAAGTTGATAACAAACAAAGCTTTTAAAAACATAACTTTTAATTTTTCTTAAAATTTTATTGCTAAGGAATGAATTTTAAGAAAGAAATAAATGAAGCCTTCAAAACTAGATTTCCTAGAGAAAAAAAATTTTCACTGGTTAACTGAAAAAATTTTCTTTCATAAGACATATTCGCTCGCTTTACTTGCTCGATAAATGACTAAAACTCAAAAATTTAAAACCGGTTTATCTCAAAATCGGAAAAAGTTGTTGAATTTCTGAAAATATTGTTCGAATCAAGACTGAAAGGAGTTAAATGTGGAATATCACTCGACGCATTCCAATGATTATTTATGGCGAGAAAAAATTAAGCGAGACAGATGGCGACACAAAAATATTGAACACAAAAAAATTGTTTCACAAAGAGGCGAAGCAGAGCTTCGCAACACTTGCGATGCAAAAAAACACATTGCGCAAGTCAAAAAAACTTCTGAAAAATTACTTGAAAAAATAACTTGACGAAATTTGAAAAAAAAATACAGCTTGAAAAACTTCATATTTGTATCAGATGAAGTTCATCTTTGGGTCGAAACCTGTTGATCCGAAAAAAAAACTGTTGTCATAAAAAATTTCACTGTACTTCAAAGTTTTTACGACCCATCCAAACTCAAACAGATCCCAAACGGATACATTTTGCCCTCGAAATTACGCAGAACAAGTTGACTAAGTCAATATAACACGTAAAACTGTTGTAACATTTAAAGAAAAACGAGAAAAAAAGACTCAATATCAGTGGTAAATTTACAAATCTGTGAAATTTCAGCAATAGTAAAACAGTTTAAATTAGAACAGAACCCACGCTTGAAAACGTAAACCAATAAAAACCCTACCATAAAAAAATCCCCCTCTCCCCATTTAAGTAGTCGCAAAAGTATGGCATGGGTGATATTTTAGTTTGATTCGATTTATGGTGGACAAATGATAAAAACAGCTTTTGGTTTTGAACCAATTCTGCAGAATGGATTAAAAACTTATCGGTCTTGAGAATTGCAGCTTGAGTTTCAGTTATAGCTAACTCAGAAAACTGTATCTATAAAACCGCGTAATGAAAATTAAATTGCCATTTCCATTTACAACAATGAATACCCGATACTTCGTTAAGCTGAACAGCAATTCATTTTAATATAAAAAATCCACACTTGCATATTAATAATTTTAACGTGTGGAAGGCTGTGCCCACTCGACGCTCAAGATTAAACACCCCAATCTGTGTCGGTTGAAGGTCTCGATTGCAGCTTCTGCTGAACTTCTCTCTCTGTATGTCACAAACGCGAAGCCTTTACTGGCTTTGGTGGTTCGATCTTTAGCCAAGAACACTCTCTCAATGCTTCCTTTCTGTTTGAACAGCTCTTTCAGGTACATGTCGTCCACGAAGTCGGGAAGGTTGGAAACTCGAATGCAATTCTGGTCATTTCTCGCCATTCCTCCAGCACCACCGGGTCCTGCTGCGCCTGCTTTTCCTCTCAGACTTGGGGGTACATAGCTTCCATTGGCTACCGGTTCCATAGAGCCCGGTTTCTTCTGTCCAGACATTTCCTGGGAAAGCTTGTTATATTGCTCCATTTGTGATTTCAAAGTACACTGCGCAGACAAGTGAGTTGTAGCTCCACAATGTCTACACGAAATCAGTTTGTCGCCAATCTGCAATTTCACCATTTCATCTTCATCGCCAAGAGTGCCTGTGTCTTTTGTTGACACGAACTTCATTGATATTTCTTCGATTGATATCTGCGTCGTGGCTTTGTTTGGACCAGGTTCGTCAACAGCAGATGCTCCGAATTTAGCCAATCTCTTTCTCGTTGCAATTGATTTATTTACCAGCTTCTTTTCTTGCCTGTACACGGTCACCACCTGTAGAAAAAAAAACACTTTTTATTTGGGCTTGCAAAGATTTTTTACTTCTATTTGCCCTAAACAAAATGATACCGCTATCAATTAATTTAATGAAAGTTTTTTTGGCAAAAGTTTGCATCAAAACCTATGTGGTAATATCTGTGTTCTGGCGATTCAGAAATGGGGAGCAACTTCGAGTGTCTTTTAATTTTTCTCTTCTTTTCCACGCAAAATCAGAAATGGGTCCTGCGTTATATCACATAAAAGCCTTTGACTCAGACAATATTATTATTATTTATTTTTATTTAATTATTATTATTCAACATTATTATTTAATTTACAATAATTATTTATGATATAAGCTTTCAGTTTTAAATAAAATAAGCCTGCTCTCTCGCTTTACTCGCTCGAAAATAGTCGAATAATCGAAAATTTCGAACCGTTTTTTCTTGACAATGGAAAAATCTTTAGAAAGTTTTAATGTCGTTCAAATCTTGACTGAAAGGGCTTTAATATGATTATCAATCAAGCCATGTCTATTTGTTGTACCTAATTTTGCATGGAAAACAAAAAAACTGAAACACTCGCGAATACGAGTTCCTCTCCATTTTCAAAGGTCGGAACAATAAGCACAATGCGTGTAGCCCAGAGAACATCACAATAGGTTCGTTAGAAAAACTGATAAAAAATTAGAAGCCTTACACTCAAGGAAAACTCTGCTTAAAACAGAGGCAAAGCTGTGCTTCGCAAATCTTGCGAGAACACGACCAAAAAGCAGCTCTATCAAGTGAAATAAGAAATTGTAGAAATAGGCCTCGACTAAGCAAGAACTCGGGTACTTGTCGGATTCGAATCTACAACCTGGCGAACTCGAGTCTCACGCACTAACCTCTTAGACACAGATGCTTAAAATCCTCAAAAACTAGGCACCAATAACACAGCTACATATGCTAATAAATTGCCAATTCGATGCAGCATAAGTAGCACCAAATTCAAAAGACACAATTTTGCATGCAATAAATTGGAAAGCATTAGGCTAAATTATGTATAAATAATGCATTTCAAAAAATTACGAGATACATGGAGTTGGAAAACTTCTGAAATCGAGCTTTTTATCATTGTACTGCTAATTGAAACAAATGACTTTCTTCGATTCATTTGAATTAAAAATGCATCAACTGTGTTAACTTTTTACTAATCAAATTTCAAACCACTTATGACATTATACTCTTTCAGCAGCCTACCGAATCAAAACTGCCATCAAAAGTAGCAATTTGATTTGCGCGACTTAGTAACGAAAAAAAGAGCTCGTACTAATACACTTTGCTTCGCAAGTTTAAAAACAATTTCCATTGAATCACCTGCATGACTTCTACACCAGAAAATTGGAAACTTAAACAAGCCTCTACAAAGGTTCCAGATACTGGATTCCGTTACCGCCACATTCAATTCCGAAATTAAATCAAAACTAAAGCTGTTCCGCAAGTAAATGTGCCTTTTCATCTGCACATTTAAATGTAATTAAAAACATCGTTCCTTAACAATTATGAAGCATCGACTAAAATGGCAAGCCATTTTCTTTAAGTATCCGATAACACATTTGCGTCATACCTATCTTGTTTAAATAACATTCTATGTTTTCTGATTTGTAAAAATATTGAGACAAGTGAAACCTAATAACCTATTGAGTGATCTCACGTCTGTATAGCTACTTCGAAACGTTAAAGCTGTTGCTCCACAATCAAATTAAATTTTCGGTGGAAGTTTGCTACAATCGATGCCCTAGCTGCATTAACTGAAAAACTCCTCGTCCAGCACTAAGCCTAAGCAAGCCGAGAAAGGTTTTACTCGTAAATTAGAATGGCGCGTCGGGATTTCATGGCCACTGAAAAAATCTTTGCTCATGAGTCATCATTAACTGCAAAGCTTGCAACATGTGTTGTCCCTTCGTCAAAACCAGTTTACTGTCTTCGCAGACATCACCAATATGTCCTGCCATCTTCATTGACCCTAAAAAATTATTCGCTCACCAATTTCTGCAGGATAAACTGGAGCTCTATAGAACCAAGGGTCGTTGCTATATTCGGTTTACTAGTTGATTACTTGTCAGGACGTTGTCTTGCTATATCAAGACTGGGTGATTTTCAGACTAACAAGGAAGTGGTTTATTTCAAAAATACATATTTTATATTCGGATAACTAAATTTGAAAATCTTCCAGTGGCTTTTGGCTGGATACTGAATTTTTTTATGCCGTCAGCACCTTCTGTAACTAATTTATCTAAATCACTTTCAGTTGCAAACTCAACCAACGAAACAGCAAAATCACTCAAACTCATTTGAAACAAGCTGTTCCACTGTCAGTACAATCTTTCAATGCATCTGTACATTTAGAGAAGGTCTGAAAGAAACTTCAACATCGATCCTAAGCAGTTATCAGGTATCGACGAAATACTTTTCGTCGATACTTGAAACACTTTGCGATGCGAAATACTTTTCGTCGATAACCGTTTACTTTCCTTGGATGGGCGGTTAAGTTTTGATAATATTTTACACGCCTGGAGCTGCAACATCATCTACTTGAGCGAAACTTGGCTTAACTCTACTGTGGATTCTTCATGTATCTGTCCTTTCTCTGACTTCGTTGTTATTGCGAGGTCTGATCAAACTTTAGGTGCTCACAGAGGTAATCTTATTGCAATGAGAACTTGCACAGACTGTTTTTGACATTTACCCAATAATGTGTGATTCGAACGTCGGTTGCGATACCTTGCTTTTTTCCGTGTCATTTATTCTCTGCATTGTATCAATATAAACCCCCCCCCTGCTTCTTCTTTCCGCACAACCTTCGATGAACTCAGTGATTTCTTCTTAGCAGCTCATGTCATTTTTCAAAGCGAGCGTATTAAGCGTGGTAACCTTTGCGGCAGCTACTTTATGGTAGGTGGTGACTTTAACCTGCCAAATGTTGACTGGCGCTCGTTCCACAAATCAAACTCTACGGTATCCACCTTTTTTCCTTGTTTAATGACCTTGATTAAGAACAGTACAAACTTGAACCCACCCATAAGTGACAATCCGCTTGAAATCTTGCTTTTCAATTCCACGGTGCCAGGTGGCATCAAAAATTATACTCTGGTTTTTCAGCTCTCACATCTTTACGATGACTTAAGTTCTTTTACACTCTCTGTTCTTTCACAAGGAGTGATTCTTTCAAAAAAGGTAGTCGATTTGAAGTGTATATTTATCGTGGTATTAGTTTTCTTCCAAATTTATCTCTTGGCCTCGGGCGTATTTTGTTTAATTTAAAGTATATCTGCATAAGGCCTAAAATTTCTTGTCATCAGTTTGGTTTTATGACCAGGCGTTCGACTGTCACCCAACTTCTTACCTTCTGCAATCAGATTTTTGAAAACCACGAAATGAGTATCTTCATTTGTGTTCTATGCTGACGTCAAATAGGACTTTGATTCAGTTCCCTATCAAAAACTTCTTATTAAACTGGCGAGTTTTGGCTCTGAACATAATTTTCTTGACTTAATGAAATTTTACATATCAGGGCGCTTTCAACGTGTTCGCATTGACGGTTTTCTCTAACAGGTCGTTTCTGTTTCCAGGGGAGTCCCCCAAGGCAGCATACTTGGCCCGTTGGTCTTTCTTATTTTCGTGAATGATATACCGGATTTGCAATCCTTCAATGTTTGCTGACGACTTAAAATGCTGCAGTACATCCGAAGCACTACCGCAAGCCGACCTGAACTCCCTACTTAATAGGTGTAATGAAAATTAATTGGACTTGAACCCTGATAAATGCAAAGTTCCTAAGTTTTTCAAGCATACGTCTACTACACCTGATTCTTTCTTCATGGTCATATAGTTGACGAGCCCCCATTTTTTTCTTGGCATCATTTTCACTGGCAATTTATCATGGTCAACGCATATCACCGATAAATTACAGAAAAGCAACGAAGTGAAATTTAAGCTGAGACGTAACGCTCCCGCAAGCACAAATCAAAACAACAACTTTCAATTTTATTCAAGTTGCATCATTTCTATCCTCACCTACGGTTCACTCATTGGTCGCCTTCCAAAACTGATTTAGCAAAGTTGGAATCTTTTAACAGGAGGTGTACTCGTTGGGTTGGACTCAATTGCAATTACAAGAAGTCACTCGTGCAGCTTGATGTTTTTCCCATATGCTATCGATTGGAAGTTATAAACCTTTTATTGTTCTACAAACTAAATGACGATAAATACGAAATTAAAGCTGCAAATTTTGTTACTACAAAAAACCAGTCAGCTTTTCTCTGTAGTTCAGTTCAGACGTGCGCTCATTCACTATCAAACTCAGAAATATGAAAAGACGAGGCTGTAGGGCGTAACAGATTACGGGGTCAAAATCTAAGCACCATATTAATTTGATAAACTATCAAACTCTGAATCGGCAGGTTAGTTTTTAGAAAAAAAACATGCAACATTTCAAAGATTGGACCTTTCCTAATAATATAACTTTTTAAGACATAGGCATAGACTCTTGTGCAGAGGAGGGTCGCACAATTCGTTTTTTGTGCTTTCGCTCCTTATCTCCAATTTCGCAGAGTAGTTTTTGAGAAATTTGAAAATTAACCAAAATATCAAAAAATGGGTATAGTAGTAGTAGTAGTAGAATAGGCTTCAGAGCATTAGCTCTAGGGAATTTCACCCTAGAGCTATGTTTGAGACCATACCTTTTTTTCCACCAAATTTAGGAAAAAGCCACTTGAGAAACGAACATACCCATGATTTCCTCTACTGATTGAAACTTTCATCTCAGATTTGTGCTTTTAATATTTGAGGAAATGAAAGAATTAAAAATAATCAGGTCAAAAATCCTCAAAATCCTCAAAAGCGCAAAAACTTTCCAAAGCGTCGCCAAAAAAAACAACAGAAAACAATAAACCCGATACGTTTTCAAAATAACTGTTTTTTTTTCAAACCGGACCTAACACTTGCCAAAAATAAAGCAGCGATTTATGCTATTAAATTGCCTATGCTTAAATAAGCTTAAAAAAATTAAATTGAAATATACCAAAATTTCCAACAAATAAGCACTTTTCTTTGTGACTTAGCTTGGAAAATTTTTTTTCGTAATAATACACTACGCTTCGCTTGTGTTATGATTGATCTTGCAATAAATTGTTACCAGAAGGGCTAAGAAAAAAAAGTTAAATTATAAAAGGGGCCCTTCCGCTTTGGTACGGTCGTGCACAAGCTGGATAGGGCCCATACCAGCATTATATAAATACATCAATAAACAATATTGCAGGAATTAATTCAAGTCAGCATTTAATGCATTGTCATTAAAAATATTTACTTTAACCGTCCCTCCTCTACAACAGCACTAGAAATGAATGTGAATCGTTTTTGCAAAAAAAAAATCGCGTCATGTCAAAGAACACGTACATTTAGGTCCTATCGAGTAACCGAACTCGTGCTTTCGAGGAAACTAAGGGAGTTGTGATTAAAGTGTAATTCTAAACTTTTTGGTTTCTGAATTATCGATGTCGTCAAGAACTTCAAAAGAAATCTTCAAAAAACTGAAAAAGATCTAATTGGGTGATCAGTCTAGATGAAGGAGTTGGGATTCTGGCCCAAAATATGACCTTTCAAATTCTTCAAACAATAGCCTGAAAGAAGCAGTAGTACAGCCCATCAAATTCGCAACATTTACTATCCCAAAAACGGCTTTAAAAAAATGCTTCAGTAACAATCCAATATGAGCATCAAACTGTACTTTTGACTTAGTTTTATTTTACGAGCCAATTCTAAAATCAGATTACGAAACACAAACCTTTTCTTTTTTGTTCGTATCGGGATTAATCCGATATTCGGTTTCAACTTTATCTCCGTCGTTGTTGTACTCTATTTGAACGTCTTGCTCATTCGGTTTCAGCACTGGAATTGAAGCTGTTACTGCATTATTAGAAGGTAACGATGAACCTTTTGAAGCTTTGGTTTCTTCGTAGTCGACTAAATCAGCCCAATTGATTGGCTCACCATTTGTCGCCTTTGGCGTCGCAGGAACTTCATCTCTTGATTCAACCATGCTATCTAGAAAAAAGGAGTCATTATAAATATATTGCAATTAGAATTCAACAAACGATATTCGAATGCGTCATCGCGCATCTTTTTTGTAATTACCAGGTGGAAACTATCCAGGTAACAAAATTTACATCAGGGTCCTATGTTACGTCGCCCATTCATTAAACATTGGAATTGTAGTAACCTTAGATAGCAACATATAATTAAATTATGAAGTAGGTAAAACTTTGGCAATCAAAAAAATTCTCCGAATGCAGTTTTTTACATTAACTGACCCTGATACGCATGCGGCTGTCACAGATTGCTTAAAAACATCAGCTGTGGGTGCGATTGCGCCGTGAAATTAAAATTTCTAGACGGTATAAGAATTATAACTGGGTCACAGGAAAAAGTGAGCATGATTTACCACAATTTTTGAAAAACTTCTATATCACAAGTATAAAAATGCGAACCATGTTGTCACAAATTTGAGCCAGCGAGTTTTTCTTCGGAGGACAGCAGGGAATCTGAAGTGGTTCTATGGAAAAGTCAAGGTTAAAACCTGAACTTACTTGAGAATTTATGATGTCTGAGATCTGAAATCATTAAATAACGATGATGACACTAAGACAAACGACAAGTGAAAGAAATTCGTTATTTACAACTGTCAAGATTACATGACAAGCATATAGAAACGGAGCTGAGACCTTGCTCAGCTAATTTAGCGATATTAAAACCGAGGAAAACGGGTAATCCTGGGACAATCAGAAAAACCTTGATCCTCTCGAAACCAGTTGGAATTATTCAAACTAACCGATTGGCAATTATTGTTCCAACCGGTTATTATGTTAGTAACCGGTTGAAGTAAGCATATTCAAGTTTCAAAAGCTCAGTTTTTCTTGAAATCATACCTCTTGAAGTAGTCACGGTAAATTACAGAAATTAGCTTTGATTATAAAACATTAAGGTTAGATTCGTTTATTTATTTTGAATAATTTCCCGCTGGTTTTGGGAGACTTCAAGGTTTTCCTGATTGTCCAGCGTTTACCCTGCTCACACTGCCTTGTTGGTGTGGATTTCATGATAGATCAATATTGTATTCTAAACATTGGCGAACAATAGCTGTACAGCACGGAACATCGGACGGCGCTACCTATATCAGCACAAACAATGAGCGGTTTCCAAAACTTTGCAGAAGCAGCAAGAAAAGAACAAGTACCCAGCAGACATGAACTACTAGTAGTGTGCCAGTCGGTCATATTTGGAAGTTTGACCTTGAGAGAAGCAAAAAACACTTAATTTTGGGGTGAAATTTAATTTTTCAAAAATTCGAATGGAGCCTTTCATGCACGATTTTCTCGCGATAACTGAAAGTCAAAAAAGAGAAGTCAGAACAATCGAGTGACAATCGCGGGAAAGTTGCAAGATAAATCAGTAGGAAATTGCTATTCGCAATTTCCGTCACAGTAATAATCTAGAGTAGAGCTGTCCCATTCGAAACAGAAAGAAGCGTATTCCCACGAACTGTATTATTGTGACTTGACTGGAGTATTATTCTAAACTGGACTAGAGTGAACCTTCGGTGGAAATTTGGAGAGCTTGAGTGTCCCAATGGTTCACGAGAAACTATAGCCTAGAGTACAAACTTGTTCTTGTTGTTAAAACTGACAAACATTAAACTCATTTTAGTTACATTATTTAATTCTCGAGTTGATTACCGACTTGATTACTCCCAATTCTTGAGCGTGCTACAATGTGAGTACTAATTTAAATTTCTAGAGTGTGTTTTATAATTGTTATGTTGAGGTAAGGCGAGTTTTAGGTTGATCCATCTGAAATGGATCAAAGTTCCACTGTCTAATAAAAAGTAACGTAACGGATTGTTCCAACCCGGTTTTTAACGGCGTTCATGTATTTTGGGTATCTAGAGACCTGAGTATGAGGACGTTCTTAATTCTAGAGTGGGGGGATATTTTAGTAGTAGCCTTTAAGCTGTAACGGGTCGTAGTCTCATGTCACAAACGAACCGAATTGGCTCCGACTGATTTGAGGTAGAAAAACACAAGAGATAGTGTCCCTGACTCTTGAGCTAATGGTTATAGGGCCTATTTTTCTTAAGCCTCATGTGTGACTGCAGTATACGAATGTTACATAGTGTTTTTATGGCGCTCCTGGGTGTTTACGACATCAAGACTACGGAGTCGAACCCACTTGAGACAGCTTCGGGCTGAATGCCCATTCTAGAGTACCGGCGGTGCGGTTCGACAGGAACGTGCAAACCTTCCGGTTGTACCGTGATAGCTTTTTAAGAAAACTCGAGAAAACTTCCTGGTACGCTCTCCGAACGAGGCTTAGCTAACCGAGTAAAGGGGCAACTAGGGGGACAAAAACACGAGCAAAAAGACAAAAAGCAAAACAAAAACCAAAAAAGAATAGAAAAAGGAACAAAAACCATAAAACGAAAAAAGACAGTGACTTTGACACCAGATTAGTTGGATCAAACCTTTATATTAATTAAATAGTATACCCATACTGTTTTACAAGTTAGATCGTTTCGATCAACCTAGTAATTTAACCCAGTAACCTTAATAAAGAGCCCGAGTGTGGGGCGTTGTCAAGGGTTTTCAGATAGCTTGGAACTTAGCTGAACCAATAGGAGACTTGACTGGAAGAGGTGACCAGCCGAGTGGGAAAGTGGTTCAGGAGCACTTGAGCTGAACCAATAGGAGACTTGACTGGAAGAGGTGACCAGCCGAGTGGGAAAGTGGTTCAGGAGCACTTGAGCTGAACCAATAGGAGACTGGACTGGAAGAGGTGACCAGTCGAGTCGGAAAGTAGCCAAGAAGGATTTGGCAGTTCTCGAGTTCTCAAGTTGGGCAGAACGGGTATCGTTAAAATTCACATTACATTATAGGAAATAAGTGTAAAATTGGATAAGCGATATCCCCCGGTTTTGAGAAACGTTTTTACTTGAGCAGGCCTGGAGACAGGTCTACGGTTTTCTCTTGAGAGGTTTAGCACCCGGCGCTTAAGGTAATTTTAGGCTTAAGAAGGGGGGCTAAAAAGGGGGGAGGTTAGAAGGGGGGCTGGTTAAGTTAGAAGTGAGCGGTTGTAAATTGTAAAAAGGGGGGAAATTAGAGTAACTAATTAGTCGACATCGTTGATTTAGTTACATTAGTCATTTACACGCGTTGGTCATAGGAAGCGGATATCCAAAATTGGAATTAGGTTAAGGTAGGTACCCTGGTCGGATCGGTAGGGGGGAACGGACATAGACAGTTTTTGTGATACCCCATAAGATCGCTAGCAGGGGGGAAGGAAACGCGTGGCAATTAGGTACCAGACATTTTTTCGATAGAAGGTAGACATTTGTCACCTTTGAATTTTAGGTGGGCTCATCTTTCCGTTTTTATTACTTTTTCTAGCTTGGATTTTTGTTGCATTTTGGTGAGGATTTGTGTTTAGTTTTTATACGAACAGGTGATCACAAGATACCTGCGCACAGGTTTTGGTCTCAAGTTGCTTGGAACATTGAAAGAGAGGTAATTAAAAAGAAATAAGAAAAAGGGGGGGCAGCATTTGGCTTTTAAGAGAGGGTTTTTGGGAAAATTTTACTAGAGCTTGAGTGGTGGTACAAAGTACAGTGAATCAAGAAGTCCCCATAACGAAGAAGAAAGAGGTCCCACCGCTCAGACACTTGTCAACAGTCTTGGGACAGTGCCAAAGAAGTCCTGGGACAGTGTTGGACCAGAACAGTCTTGATACAGTCTTGGGACAGTGGTCTTGGGACAAGGGTCTTGGGACAGGGTCTTGGGACAGTGGTCTTGGGACAGTGGTCTTGGGACAAGGGTCCTGGGACAGGGTCTTGGGACAGTGGTCTTGGGACAGTGGTCTTGGGACAGTGGTCTTGGGACAGGGTCTTGGGACAGTGGTCTTGGGACAGTGGTCTTGGGACAAGGGTCTTGGGACAGGGTCTTGGGACAAGGGTCTTAGGACAGTGGTCTTGGGACAGTGGTCTTGGGACAAGGGTCTTGGGACAGGGTCTTGGGACAAGGGTCTTGGGACAGTGGTCTTGGGACAGTAGTCCTGGGACACTAGCCTTGGGACAGTAGTCTTGGGACACTAGCCTTGGGACACTAGCCTTGGGACAGTAGTCTTGGGACACTAGCCTTGGGACAGTAGTCTTGGGACACTAGCCTTGGGACACTAGCCTTGGGACAGTAGTCTTGGGACACTAGCCTTGGGATAGTACTCTCAGGACAAGGGTATTGGGACACTGACGAAGTACTGGGACAGTACCGAACAGTCTTGGGACAGTAGAAAGAAGCCTGGGACGGTACAAAGAAGAGTAGGGACGGTAACTGGAAGTCTTAGGACAGTATAAAAATTGAAGTAAAATTACAACAAGTTGTTTTAAGACAGAATTAAGACAGAACAAGACTAATTGGAACCCGGTACGGTTGGGACCACAAATAAAGAAAGTTACTCGAAGATTTTAGAGAACTGGAACAAGGTTTTTATCACGTTGTATATTTTTTTTAAAGAATTTGTTTCCACAAAATTTTTTATTCTTAGAATAGAATTGTGTATATAATAATATTGTAAATAAGAGCAATTGTAAATAGAAATAATGAGACGGAGTAGGGTACCGGTGCTTGAAAAAAGGTCAAGTGGATCAAACACGAAATATAACTCGTCGCTGCGTGGAACGACATCAAGGGGCCCAGGCAAAACAAAAAATAACTTTTCAGTTAGCATGGTCAGCACGAAGAGTGGCACCGAGAGCAAGACGCGAGAAGATGCGAGGGAAAAACAGGTGGAGCCTACAATCGAAATCGACCTAGAGACACCAGACCAGAGCGTAGATGAACTGGAGAAAAAGACGACGGAGTCAACTCCAATGCCCAATGCAGAAGAACCAAACCCGAAACCCATAGAGTTCTCACCAATAGACAATGTGGAAGATGCAATAGGCAACACCGAAGAAACGGTGAAAGAAGACTCTCAAGTAAAAAAGACATCTTTTACAGAAAG